TATGTGTGTATGTGTGTTGTATGTACGGTGTGTTTGTGTGTGTACATGTACACTTGGATATTTGTTTACAATCTCACTTTTTTTTGACACTTGCTGTTGCCCGTGATTTTGCCCGCGTGTAATAAAAATATAGCCTTAATTATATTACCTTATGTAGTATATTTGTGTAGTTTTCCGCTTCCAGCCATTGATCAAACTTGGTTATAGCTCCCGAACACTTAGTTACAACATCCAATAACCTCATTGAACCAGCACCGCTGCCTATTATATTGCGTTTTAACGTCTGAAACATGTATTATAACAATTATTAATAACGAGCTGTTGCCCGCGACTTCGTCCACATGGTATTAGAAAACATACAAACTATAAAAATTGCAAAAAGCTACGTATCCCTCGGGAACCGGACATTTCTCTGGGATGAACCTCATCCCATGTGTACTCCAGACTTTGTTTTATATCTGTGCCTTTCATTAAGATATGTTGAACCGTTGCAGAATGATCAAGTAAACATAAAAAAAAACTAAATTAATGAATCCCACGGGAACCGTAACTATTCCAGGGATAAAAAGTAGCCTATGTGTTCTTCCAGACTATGCTCTTAACCTGTGCCAAATTTCATGGAGATCCGTTCAGTTTAGGCTACAAACGCTAACAAACATCCATCCATCTAAACTTTCGAATTTATAATATTAGTAAGATTATTAATAATTAAAAAAAATGCGTATGAAATCGACTACCATTATTCCGATAGTCGTTTCGGTACACGGGTTAGAGAAGAGCTTCGACCAACACCTCAAGAAGCTCTCGCTAGACAGATGGATTAAGGGCCCAAATAAGGGCCGTTATTTTAGAAACCGCACGACTAGTGATGAGGTTCCTGTCTCTGCCCTGACCACTGGTTGCTTGAGTCATCGGATTCCGCAGCCGGTGGACTTTTTTTATATATATTTTTTTGTTTTTTTTTTAAATTATGTGAAATATATTATATATAAAAATAAGAATTTTAAGATATATAAAGAATTAATAATAAATATTAATTAATTTTATAAATGCGAAAGTTTAGATGGATGTTTGTTAAAGTTTGTAGCCTAAACAGATTTCGGTAAAATATGGCATAGAGGTAGAGGATTTATTTTTTACTTTGTTTATTTTTTAAATGAAACGATGGAGTCGCGGGCGAAAGCTAGTCTTACTAATATTATAAAATACTTTCGTCCTGCGTCTCCGTCTGCAAGAAAATAAAAAACAAAAGTAAGTAGCCCATATGTTCGTCCTGACTATTCTCTACATCTATGACGGTTATGATGATGACGATGGTTGTGATGATGATGATGGTGATGACGATGGTTGTGATGATGATGATGATGGTGGTGGTGTTGATTGTGAAGATGATGGTTACCTGCAGTTGGACCGGCGTGTGGTCTCCCCTCAGGGTGGCGAGGGCATACGCCTTGCAGCGCGTGGCCAGCTCCTCATGAGTGAGGGTGCTCAGCATCACCGCGGTGCCGTCCTCACGCCGCGCCGTCTCCGCAACTAGGTTGGCAGCGGCACACGACGCTTGCCATACTGAACATGTTACATGCGCGTTGGGGAACTCCGACCTTACTTCCTATTGGAATTATACCATTTTTTACTATATAGATATAACAGTGGTAGAGCCCGCTTTAACATCTTCGCACGAATAGACCGGCTCGTCCCAGCAATACCACGACCACAAGACAAGGGTGAAGTGGAAGTAATTCCGCGTACAGTTTCATGAGTGTGGTGCCGGAGGAGTGTGGTGCATTTGACGGTGGAGGAGACGCATAGGAAGGGGAAAAATCCACTTTATGTGCGTCTCCTCCGTCAATGAAGAGTAGGCAGCGATGCAATTGCGGATGTTTATGGGCAGCAGTCACTTTCCATTTCATTGGATTCAGGTGGCCGCTTGCGAGTTTGCCATCTTATATTATAAAAAAAAAACTATATATTTCGGAGGACTAGGAGATTTCCAAATAAAAAATACTAAGGAAATAATTTTTATACACTAGCTGTTGCTTGTGATTTCGTCCGCGTGAAGAAGTAAGAAATACAACTCTTCTTAATGTTGGCATCTTGTAGTGTATGGTCTCTTTCTCGCATTACGGTTTTTTACAATTTATATACTCCCTGAGTGTAACAGCGTGAAAATGCCTAAAGCATGTAAGTGTAGGGATTCTATTAAAAAAAATATTCAAAAATGTACTGTGATTGCTGACATCTTACGTCACAAAGTGTGTACACCCTTTTTATTCAAGTACATATAGATTGAAGATTTATTTAAATATGTGCAATTAAACTCACCTCTTGTGATTTAGTGGGGTCACAGACCACACAACGGACCTGTCTCCAAGCGGGGTTACAAGACTTAAAAGTCTCTAACAACCATCTTAAATCTTCACCAATCAACGTTGATATACCTGAAAATATATTTATTTAGATTAGTAACGGAACTCCGTATACATTCCGTTATTTATGCGGAGTTATAACGGAGGTTAATTTACGTCTTTACTGAGGCGATTAGGTTTCGTTTATGCGCGGCCGTGATGTCAACTAACTATAATTGTTATCTATATTATAATAAAGCGTAAACACACACTTCTTTGTTGCCTAAGATGTCAGCAATTACAGCATATTTTTGAATAATCCTTTTTTTAATAAAAAGCCTTACACTTACGTCACGCTTTAGGCTATATATTTTCACGCCATTAAACTTAGGGGGTAAATATTTTGTATAAAAACCCTAATGTGGGAAAGAGACCATAAGTTGCTGCCAACATCAAGGAAGCAAGATTGCTAAGGTTTGTCATGTTATGTCATTTTGACATTTGCTGCATAATCTGACATATAAACAATAAAATAATTTTATGCTGATGAAATCGCACGGGAACAGCTAGTACATTATATTTGAATAATAAAGTGTATTTTGTAATTATGTACCAATCTGTATTTTGAATTAACATAGTTTTAGTTATTTCTTTAATAGCAATTATTATTTTATCATTGACCTCCGCTTCCGCTTCCGTTAACCTCCGCTTCTGCAGAGGTGAAGCCTTGCGCCTCCGCATCCGTTTCCGTTAAAATGGCTTCCGTTAGTCTGTTTGTGTTATAAGTTATGAAAGTGATGTTATGTTGTGAATTATGAATGTGTGTATATACTAGCTGTTCCCGTGCGGCTTCATCCGCATGAAATTATGAAAATTTTATTATTTTGTTTACATCTGTCAAGGTATCAGTTGCAAATGTCAAAATGACATGACAAACATTAGCAATCTTTTTTTCTTGATGGCAGCAACTTATGGTCTCTTTCCCACATTAGACTTTTTATCCAAATTTACCACCTAAGATTAATGGCGTGAAAATATATAGCCTAAAGCGTGACGTAAGTGTATGGCTTTTTATTAAGAAAAGAATTATTCAAAAATATGCTGTAATTGCTGACATCTTAGGCAACAAAGAAATGTGTTTACGCTTTATTATAATAGTATAGATACTACATAGATATAAAGATGTGATTTACCTGCACTAACTATAACAGACTTCCCGTTGCCATCTTCAGCGAGGAACAAAGTCACATTATGTTTAATACTTGACGCAGTCGATCCTGTCACTGCAGATATGTTGCTGTTGAACTCTATACCTATAGGAATAAAGTTGAAAATACAAGTACAGTACCTCGATAAGTTAAAGTCCAAGGGTAACACAAGATATTTTAAGTTATAGGTTTTAGTTATCAAGGGTCTATGTTGTAGAGGTTTTGGGCTCTGATGGGAAGGGAACATATTATTTGAAGTTATAGAGTTAAGTTATCAAGGGTCTATGTTGAAGAGGTTTTGGGCTCTGATGGGAAGGGAACATATTATTTGAAGTTATAGAGGTTTTAAGTTATCAAGGGTCTATGTTATAGAGGTTTTTAAGTTATCGAAGTTCTACTGTAAAAGCAATTTTATACTAGAAACTAGGATTTTTTATATCAAAATCACAATTTAGTAATTCGATAACTAAAGTAATCAATCAATCCCAATTTTAGTCCCTTTCCCATTATACTCTTTTCTTATAAGGAAAAGATTGGATGGGAAAGTGGATTTGACGGCGGAGGAGACTACAGAAAGGGGAAATATCCTCTTTAAGTCTCCGTTGACTTAAGGTAGGCAACGCATCTGCAATTGCAGATTTCAATGGGCTGCGCTTCGCCATTTTGGCGAATTTAGGTGGCCCCTTGCTCGTTTGCTATCGTATTGTATAAAAAATTAAGAAAAATCCCGATTGATTTTTATTTTAGTATTAAATTCAGTTTTTTCAATATATATTTTTTATTTTTCGCTTCTCACGTCTACTGTATTTGTTTTGTGTAATTATAATATATCTTATGACACTCTGAAGAAGGAGACAAATCTAATGACACCTCATTCATCAAAATAGGTTCAATATTTTAGGCTATAGTCTGTTACATGCAAACTCATCATAAAAGTGAACATTACAATTTTGTCAGTTAAAAAAAACTTAATAAAACTGGGCTATGCTAAATGTGTAGTCTGCCTACCCTTTTTTATAACTTCTACAGACTCTTGGTCCGTACACTTTTTTGCACAGTTTTTTTTTTTTTGCGTAATCCTTATAACACTAGTAAGTCCCTTTTTTTAATGTAAATTTTTTCATAAATACAATTATACTATTACGAAACAAAATTTTTACTTATACCAGCACAACGGAGAAGGTAAGGAGTAAAAGGTTAGCATGGGCATGTTATGAGGAGGGATGAATCGCATGTTACAAGGAGAACGTTAGTTATGAGTGTGGACACCAGTAGTAGACATAGAAAGAGATGGATTGTGTGAAAGGTGACATGATCAAAAAGGGAGTGATGACAGATGACGTATGATAGAGTTATGTGGAAAACTCTGATAGTACAATATGTACACTTGTTAAAAGTTTGTGGTCCCTAGCACTAGTTAATATGTTTTTTAAATGTACATACAAGAAAGGACAAGATACGAAATTAGTATATTAGAGGAAGTTTGAGAGTAGCCCCAGTGGTGGAGAAGGTAAGGAGTAAAAGGTTAGCATGGGCATGTTATGATGAATCACATGTTACAAGGAGAACGTTAGTTATGAGTGTGGACACCGCTAGTAGACATAGAAAGAGATGTATTGTGTGTAAGGTGACATGATCAAAAAGGGAGTGACTGAGATGACGTATCATAGAATTATGTGTGGGAATAGGATATGATGATGAACAGTGAACAGTAGGGCGTCGGTGGCTCAGTGGTTTGAACACTTGACTTGTAATCTACAGGTCTTGGGTTCGAATCCCGCCATGTACCAATGTGATGTTCGATTTTTCGAATTTTCATATGTACATAATTTACCCGACGTTCTTACGGTGAAGGAAAACATCGTGATGCACATATCGGCGAAGAAATTCAAAGATATATGTGAAGTCGACCAACCCGCACTTGGCCAGCGTGGTTGACTATGGCCTAGTCACCCCATATTAGGGTAGGCTCCGAGCCCCTCGGTGGGGACGTATAGTGAGCTGGTGATGATGATGAACAGTTGTCGGTTGTGCCTACCCTTAAAGGTCTACTCACCTGTCTCAATACATAGGAACTGTGGCACAGCGTTGAAAGCTTGTTGCATACTCGGTGTTGTGAAATATACGCATTGAATACATCCCGAATCCGAATACATTAATTTCACACCAGCGTCTGTGAAACACATAGAATAAAAAAAAGTAAACAGCCTAGTTCTTCGACTACCCTCTAAATTTATGAAAATCATCGGCATTTAAGGCTACAAACTCTAACAAACTTTGACTAAAATATCGCACGACTTCAGTCTCTTTTCCTCAAAGTTTGTTCTGTATAATCTCCGGAACGGTTGGACCTATTTTGTCGGGTTAACTGGTAGATGACAGATGTATATGTGAATGTTATACAATACTTTTTAAATCCACGAGGAAAAAGTCGCGTTTGATAACTAGTATCCTATAAGAGCGTGCGCACACTTTTGACAAAACTATCGAACAACAGTTGTGCGATTGTCAATTGTTTCACAGCCAACTATTTAGTTGCACAACTAAAAAGTTAGATGTGCACATCCATATAAGCTCATAGAAATCAAAGCGAAACGAAACAGTTGTGCAATAGTTTAGTTTAAATTTTCTGTTCTATTGGCTTATATTTTTATCTCTTTCTCGCATTACATTTTTCCCTTTTAAAGATTCTTACATACTCAATATCCAATTGTAAATAGTACATTCTTACCATAATTTAACTGCAGTTTCCGGACAACAAAGTCATATTTCTGATTCAACCAACGCACAGCCCCCGGACCTGTTGCTACTAGCTGTGCCTCTGTTGTGATAATCTGATTGTCTGTTGATCTGGAAATATATAAATTAATCAATATTAATCTAACTAACATTATTTTTTTTTATAATATAAGGTAGCAAATAAGCAAGCGGCCACCTGAATACACCGAAATCGAAAGCAACCGCTGCCCATAAACATCCGCAATTGCAGCGCTGCCTACCCTTCATTGACGGAGACGAACATAAAGAGGACATTTCTCCTTCATATGCGTCTCCACCGTCAAATCCACTTTTCCTTCCCATTCTTTGCTCTTAAGAAAAGGGTGGAAAGGGAAAGGGAATAAAATGAGGCCTCCGGCACAACACTCATCAGACTGTACATGGAATTGCTTCCACTTCACGCCTGTTTTCTGTGTGGTCGTGGTATTACACGATGCTAAAGCGGGCTCTACCACTGTTAAATAAAACTAATATTAGTTCTATGCAAAAGTTTAGATGGATGGATGTTTGTTAGAGTTTGTAGCCTAAATAGCTGAAGGGATCTCGATGAAATTTGGTATACATGTAGAGCATAGTCTGGAAGAACAGATAGTCTACTTGAGTAACGGGCGAAAGCTACTATATTATATTTAATTACCTACAATTGCGACTTATTTTGTACGGTATTGAAAAGTACCCTATGTGAACAGATAGGGTACTTTTTTGGTGTAGACAATAGTCTAGAAGTTAGAATAGTAGAGTTCTAGACTTGACTATGCCAAATCTAATTTATGTCTGTTCAGCTTAAACCACAAACTCTTAACAACCATCCATTTATATTAACTTTTCTATACTATCTATACTAATATTATAAAGAAGAAAGATTTGTATTTTTGCATGTATTGAAATAACTTAAAAACTACTGGGCCGATTTTAAAATTTCTTTCACCGTTAGAAAGGTAATTTATCTGTGAGTAACATAGGCTATATTTTTTAATTTTTCGCGCGCGAAGTCGCGAACAACAGCTAGTAATATAATAAAGCGTAAACACACACTTCTTTATTGCCTGATGTCAGCAATCACAGCATATTTTCGAATAACTCTTTTTTTAATAAAAAGCCCTACACTTACGTCACGCTTTAGGCTATATAATTTCACGCCGTTAAGCTTAGGGGTGAATAATTTAGATAAAACCCTAATGTGGGAAAGAGATCATAAGTTGTTGCCAACATTAAGGAAGCAAGGTTACCATGGTTTGACATCATGTCATGTCATTTTTACTTTTGACAAATGTGAATAATAAAATGAAATTTTTATAATTTCATGCGGATGAAGTCGCACGGGAACAGCTAGTGCAATTATAAAATCGAACGTTTTGATGGATGGATGAAATTTGGCATAGATGTAGAAAGTTCTGGAAGAATATATAAGCCACTTAGTTGTTTTGTTAATTCCATATGTAAATAGTTGCTGTAAGCTAGTTTATGTTAGTAATTGTATTTAGTATTCATGTATACCTTTCAGTTCCATCTTGGGGGTTTTCAATGATAGCCACCTCATATTCCTGACCCTCGACTTGAGAATTAGTGGTCAGTTCAAACTGTTGAAATGTTGCTGACTGTTCTTCTACTGGTTGCTGTAAATTAAAATTCACCAAGTTAAAAGGCCAATTTCTAATTCAACCACGGAATCATCATCATCATCATCTCCTTATCCTACTCCCGAAGCGACACAACAGGTTTTTGTCCTCCACATAACTCTATCATACGTCATCTCAGTCATCACTCCCTTTTTGATCATGTCACCTTTTACACAATCCATTCATCTCTTTCTACGTCTACCTCTACTGATGTACCCTTCCACACTCATAACTAACGTTCTCCTTGTAACATGCGATTCATCCCTCCTCATAACATGCCCCCATGCTAACCTTTTACTCCTTACCTTCTCTACCACTGGGGCTACTCTCAAACTTCCTCTAATATACTAATTTCGTATCTTATCCATTTTTGTTATCACACTTCCATCTCATTCTCATATCTTCCTCATGTTGTCTCCTCACATTGAATAGCTGTGTTTGTAAGTAAAATAGTTTCTTTCTTAAAATAGTATCTCACTTTTATTTTATTTTTTTAATATCATAAATGCGAAAGTTTAGATGGATGGATGGATGGATAGGTGGATGGATGGATGGATGTTTGTTAGCGTTTGTAGCCTAAACGGCTGAACGGATCTTCATGAAATTTGGCACAGGTTTAGAGCATAGTCGGGAAGAACACATAGGCTACTTTTTATCCCGGGAATAGTTACGGTTCCCGTGGGATTTATTAATTTAGCTTTTTAATGTTTACTCGATCATTCTGCAACGGTTCAACATATCGTATTGAAATTTGGCACAGATATAAAACAAAGTCTGGAGTACACATGGGATTAGCTTCATCCCCGACAAATGTCCGGTTCCCGAGGGATACGTAGCTTTTTGTAATTTATATAGTTCGTATGTTTTCTAATACCACGCGGACGAAGTTGCGGGCAACAGCTCGTATGTTATAAACTAAGCGACCAGCGGTTACATAATCCAATTTATGTTTCTGTCAAATACAAATGAATGCACACTTTTGACAAAGCCATCGCACAACTGTTTGGTTGTCAATTGTTTTGCAGCATTCAACTGTTTAGTTGCACAACTAATAACAAAGTAGTGCATCTCCATATAAACTTAAAGGAATCAAAGTAAGACTAAACAGTTGTGCTATAGTTTAGTTGTAAGTGCAATCAAAGGAGCCATACATAAATTCCGCCACATGATAAGGGGGTTGATGAAGTGTGGGGTATCATGACAAAGGGCAGAAGGGACACAAATTTTGTGTATTCACATGATGTAATAAAGGAGATCATATTTTTATATTCATCATCATCATCACCAGCTGCTGTACGTCCCCACTGAGGGGCTCGGAGCCTTCCCCAAAGTCAGGGTAACTAGGCCATAGTCAACCACGCCGCACTGCGGGTTGGTTGACTTTACACATATCTTTGAATTTGTCCGCCAATATGTGCAGGTTGCATCACGATGTTTTCCTTCACCGTAAGAACGTCGGGTAAATAATTATGTACATATGAAAATTCGAAAAAAATCGAAAATCACATTAATACATAGCGGGATTTGAACCCAAGACCTGTAGATTACAAGTCAAGTGCTTACACCACTGAGCAACCGATGCTCTATATTTTAATATCACATTTCATAAATAAGTATGGAGTGGTAGTGGTAGAGGTAGAGGTAAGAGATGGATTGTGTGAAAGATGACATGATCAAGAAGGTAGTGATGACTGAGATGATGGATGATGAGTTATTTGGAGGACAAAACCTGTTGCCCTGACTCTACAGGAGTAAGATAAGGGGAAAGATGATAATTTCATATATAAGTACCTCAATAACTAAATTTTAACTTCATACATACTAAAGAATGTTTATAATAGTCAATTTTAAAACACTACAAAATATGACAGTCCACTAGATATGGAGATAGGGGTGTTAACACATATAATTAGTTGTGTAGACATTTTTAAAATCTAATAGATTTACATAAAACTTACGTTAGCAACTTCATTTGTATTCTGAACAAAAGTCGCGGTTTCCTCATCCGGTTCACCTTTCACATCGTATATAGTCTCCGCCATCACTATCCTTCCAGAAGAATCCATGGTCCACATACCGCCGAAAGCGAAATTAGCTGGAGTCCCATTCGTTTGCTCGTATAGTATAACTGTGTTTGGTCCTATCTGCACAGGCTCCCCTTTCATATTTACAAATACTGACTGCTCGAAGTTTCCTTCCACTATCTGACCGGTATGAACAATCTGCTGACCTTGCTCCACGGGTACCTCAACCACCTGATTGACCACCTCAACCTTATCTTTTTCTTCCTCAACTTTTCGAGTAATCATGATTTTTTTCTTTTCACTTTCGTTTGGGTCTTCAGCTTTCCGCTTTATAACAGTTTTCTTCTTGCTTTTTTTATCCATTTTGTATTATTAAAGAGTTTATTTTATAAGGCGCGGGAAGGAGTTTAAAACTTATAGACTTGTTTTCCAAGGCTTAAATATATTGCCGCACGAACTGCCTCTCCCGACACAAAACATTGTCTTAACAGTTAACCATAAAAACACTTAAATTCAGGAAAACTTAACAATATGACAGTATGCACATTAACATTCCAATGTAAACATAAAGTTATGTTTTGATAATATAAAATTGAGAAAATATCGTGCGAAAAGGACAACTCACAAAGACGCCATTGCTTTAATCGCGAAATAAAACATTCGTAAAATCTTTTATCTCTTTTTGTCACATGTTTTCTCTTTCACACACCTACCGATTTTTATAAAAAAAACCTTATCTAAACGGATAAATCAGATTATGGAAAGTAAATGAACTTAACATTTACGTTACGAATTTCCTAACTTACAACATTGTAAAAATTAATTTTGCAAAATTCTACAGCGCAATAACAAAACCAAAAGCTATTGTATAATCTATATTTTAAAAAATATATTGTCATGGGGCATTGTCTGTGATCGACTTTTCCAGGAAAATTGTCTATAATTTTCGGTTTTCCTTCGAGTTTTGTTAAATGTAAGAAACTTTTAAATACCTAATTCATGCTTATTATAAATACATTAACTGTTTTTATACAAATAGTGTTCGTAGTGTTTATGTCCTTAGTGTCTATGAACATAGTACGATATTTTACAAGCAACAGAGCAATGAGTGTCTTAGCCCCATCAATTTTCGTGAATCACGGTGGTGGTCCAATGCCATTACTTGGCGATAAGGAACACGAAGGATTGACTATATTCTTGCGTGACGAAGTTAAGAAGCATTTAGATTTAAAACAGTTAAAAGGTATTATCTTAGTTACTGCACATTGGGAAGAGAATAAAGTGACAATATCATCAGGTAAACATCACGATTTATATTTCGACTACTACGGTTTCCCGCCCGAATCGTATAAATACAAATACGACGCTCCTGGGAATCCAGAACTGGCTGGTAAATTAAAAAAAACATTGGACAGTGCAGGCATACAGTGTAAACTTGATCCGAAAAGAGGTTGGGACCATGGAGTATTTGTTCCCATGATGTTAATAAATCCAGCTGCAGATATACCTATAATACAAGTATCAGTACTTAATAACCAAAACCCTGAAGAGCATTACAACCTCGGGAAGGCTTTATATGAATTTCGGAAAGAGGGAATTGCAATTATAGGCTCCGGTATGTCATATCACAATATGAGAGAGTTTAGAAATAGTAGAAATAAGAAACAAGTTGTTAACAAGGAGTTTGATGACTTTTTGAATGAAGTTTGTACTGCGGACAGCGAAGAGAAGAGAAAATCTGGTTTGTTATCCTGGAGGTTGCAACAAGGGGCTGATGAAGCTCACCCACCTCGTGCAGCGGAGCATTTCATGCCCCTAATAGTTATAGCGGGTGCAGGAGGCTCTACACAAGGCCAGAGGATTTTTAACTGGGATATGGGTGGTACATTCCGTTTAAGTGGGTTCATTTGGAAAGCATTGTAATTACCAAATGCAATTTTTAACACAATAAGGATAAATGGGACTAGCTTTATATTTTTACTGACTTTCTACAATTAAAAAACCTATCTAAAACAATTTGTCAAAACTTAAAAGTTGATATGGCAGGGGAGGGGACACAATATCTCCTATGTAGCCACATATCTCCTATTAAGCCACAATTTTTCTATTGGTTATTGGTTTTTAACATGAAAAATACTAATTTTTGATCAATACCATTTGGCTTTGGCCGGAGAAGGGGACTCAACAATGTATATGTAGACAATTCTAAACCACTTTTTGCTATTAACATCTGTTTTTATTTAATTAACTTTATATATGTTAAATATTAAATTAAGTGGATTTGGCAGGGGAGGAGACTCAACAATGAATATGTAGGAAATTCTAAACCTAAAATAGCAAAAATGCTATTTACACCTTCTGTTTTTATGTAATTAACTTTATTAAAGTTAAATACTAATTGTCAATACTTTAAAAAGTACATTTGACGGGGCCAGGAGACATGTAAAAATGACTATGTAGATTTTGGTTATTGTATGTTCATGTATGTTATAATTAATTGTGTTAATTTTTAAAGTTTTGTATTGCTTCTATAGTTTGTGAGATGTGAGAGACCCAAAGTATGGGATATGTCCTTTCTATGTCCACTCTGTTGGTTAAATAGACAATATCTGCAAATAGACTTGTGGTGAATTTCAGGTGCCACTTGTTGGTCATCTTATAAAAACAAAAAGCAGTTTTTATAAGTTGACAGTGGAAATTCACAAAAAAAAACACTTTTTACACAAAATTATAATAGTTACGGGTAATTATAATTTAGTAAGGAACCAAAGTTTATATGAAATTTGAATTTTTAAGCACATATTACATATGTAAACTAATTTAAAATTGGAACTGAACATTTATTTAACAAAGACTAGGATTTTCCTTGAATTTTTGACATAAAGATGATTTTACCCTGTTCTAAATTAAAGTAACATGAAATGTTCATAAATGTTGGCATCTATACGTATAATAAAATCGGAGTGTCTGTAATATCTAAAGAAAAATTCCAGATTTTGGAAAGATGATGTATTTGCATTGCTGATAACGAAAATGGCATTTAAAAATTTTTTGTCTGTCCTCAAGCTGTGTTTGTTCCGGGTAATCTTCGTAACGGTTGGATTTCGACCGGTTTTTCACTGAAGGGTAGCTGACAGACAAGCATATGGGCTACTTTTTTATCTAAATATTGCGTGGACAAAGTCGCGGGCAACATCTAGTTATAACTAAAAGCTTAGTTCATTGGATATTAAAACTTGATGCTTTATTTATATTATTAAATTCTAAATTACAAAGGGACCAATTATAAAAATGCTAAATTGTTATTGACCTGCATATTGTGCATGCAATTGTGTTAATTTGTATTGAACAAAGAGATTCAGTTATACAATAGAGCAGACTTAACTATTTACAATTATAATAAACAATATGTTTTGCTTTTAAATCCACTGGACAGGGTATGAGCTCGTAAGTTGCACACCTTTGACTAAACAATTGCATGACTGTGCGGTAGTCGATTGTTTTGCACCATTCAACTGTTTAGTTGCACAACTAAAAGTCGAGTAGTGTATGCACCTCCATATAAGCTAGTAGGAATCAAAGCGAGACTAAACAGTTGTTCGCTGGGGCGCTCTTATTTGTGGTTGTTGTTCACCATGGCACTTACAAAAATTAGCGCGGGTTAATTACGAATCATGAGAACGTTTTCGTATTTTAAACGACTTAATCTGTATTAGATTTGTACAGCGCCTCTTCCAAGCGTAAAGTACACCAACAAAACTCACACAAATGTCGAAGACCTAATACGTAATCGCAAAGTGAGGCCAAAAATTCATAATAGACCCCCTGTTCAGTGGAATATCAAATTTGTACAATTGATGTATTTGGCGATGTTTTGTTTTTTGAGACGACGCGAAAAAAAACCTATAAGACATAACCTTTAAATATCTGTATGGAAATGTGTACTAATTACGGTGGTAATTGTATTTTTATTATTATTTCGTCGTTTGGGCAACCTGCTATCTAATCGGTTATAAGAGGCGGAGTTTGTCTCGTTACGAACAAGGCATTTTTTTTGTAAGTCAAATGCCGAGGATTTTCGCTACTGTTCCTGATAGTAACAATTTTATTGAGGTATTGGGTATTCTCTATATTATTCAAATATAACTTGGCATAATGTTGTTGGCTAGGATGTTGAGTAATTTATAAATAAATATATTTTGTTACAAGTTGTGTATTTTTTTTATTCAAGTACTAATCTAAACTTTCTTCTTTTTAATTAGTTATTGGCTTTAGTGAATCTATCAACTTCACCTCTCTCTCGTGTACAGGGGCAAGGGTAACCCAATCTGTAAACCACACGAGATCTTGCATTACTTGAAACCTATCTATTTATATAGATCAGTGGTAAGAAGAAAGTGCAATCACTTTCAGGGAAAATACCAATGATGTCCTGAAAATTTCATAACGATGTTTTCTATTTAATTTTGATGACTGGTATTAATAAAATAAAAGTCGTTATAAATCGCATTTTTTTTTAAATAAATCTTTACTTATCTGTGGAAACGTCAGAACACAGAAGTTTGTTTTGAAAATATTTTGACAGTTTCAATAAATAATTTCAGCATTATTGTTACGAGTTAAACATGAACGAGGAAAACCGTAAAAATATTGAGAGAAAGCGTAAATGTGACGATCTTCTTGGAATTGATAATGGTAAAATAATTAAAACCGAGATAGAAGATACAAGTGGGACGGAATCTAACCAGTCGGTGCCACTATTTGCATCGAGTATAAAAAAAGAATTAAACGCACAAATTAAATCAGAACCTGCAGAAGAAAATGTGGAAGATTCAAACGAAGTACCAAACGATTCTCCTGAAGCTATAAAAGATGAATGTAACCTAAAGCTTGAACTTTTCGAAGAAAGCGAAACGTCCATACAATTTTTAAATAATACAACTAAAGTAAGTGTTTTTTTTAAACGACCCGGAAATATAACCTATAAGATGTAGCTTTTAATTGTTTTTTTTATGTATGAAAAGGGGGCAAACGATCGGCGGGAACAGAGGTGGTCAACGACGCTAATGTCGTTTTTCATTATTGTCCCGTAGTCATGTTCTTAATCGGACATCTGCAAGTGCGCACCATTCTAGTACAATTGGGAAAACATACTAGTACACACTTTTAGGACCTTTAGTACTTCAGATTTGTGAGAACACAATACATGAATAGAATATAACGAGAGTTATATATTACTTCACATCAAATTTTAAGCAGGGTCAAACATATGTTATTAGCGAAAATAAATTTAAGTTATAAATGATTTTATACATTTTAGATTCTTATTACCGAAGGTGGATGCTTTAATCTGGCAAATATACAATCAAATGAAACAACGAAGAGGCAAACACCAATATCGTGTAGTGTACTAAAAGTACTAAATGTCCGATTAACAAAAGCTGTTCGCTAACATTACTTTTTAGTATGTCTTATGTGTACTATCCGAGACTACTTTGCGCAACTCACTGCTCTCTAATTGTTTATTTAAGAGACTATAATATAATACTTCTATATTCTCATTTTACAAAAACATTTACTAGTTGGGACATTACAAATTAAAAACAAATCATGCACTCGAAAATCTCCACTACTGTCAGTTTCTATTGTCTTGTTCAACAAATAATATTTTTTTTTTTCTATTCTCCAGCAACCTCAAGCCAGTAATTCCAAAACTAAAAAACAACTTGAAACCCAGCCTATTGTAGATGGTCCAAGGATCACAAAACAATTTGTAAGTTTTATTTCATTAGATTATTTAAACATTCAAAAGACACAATGTATGGACATGTTGACAAGACAATGAGTCATACACCAGAAAGTTTTAAGATTGAATGTGGATGGCTACAAAGGTAGAGGAGGACCGAAGAAAGTATTGATTGTGTGAAAGAGGATATGCTTAAGAAAGGAGTGGATTCAGATATGATGGCTGATAGAGATGTATGGAGCACATACTGTGCCGACCCTCCGTAAGGGATAAGGGCAAGTGGATGATGAAAAGACACTACAAAAAACAATAGCACCTAATTTCAGACCCATCAGAGTTCCTTAACAATTAATTTGATGGTGTCTAGTGACAAACAATTAAAAAATCTACTAATCTAGTTTAAAGCAAAATATATGAGATTTTGATTTTAGTGTGTTGGTAACAATATTTTTTTGCTACAAAACACAGTCTTGGGGGTATAAGATGGTAATTATTTGGCATACTCTAGACATGTGTAAAGCTCTGAACTGTGTCAAAAACTCACTAAGAGCTGTTGAGTTGTAGCTTAATAACTAAATTACCAGCTTATGAGACACAATGTACTATAGCTACTTGAGTTTAAGAGCCGCAAACTGCGCAGAGTGTATTGCATTGATGTATCCGCTTTATACAAACAGTGAGCAGATCTGTAGATATTTCGCCGGGTACTTCATCTGTGTGAAATTTAAAAAAAAACTTATAATATTAAAGTGTGACATGAGCATTTAAGAAATATATATGATAGACTAGAGATAAGGAACATTACTTTTTCACCGGTAACTGCTTTGTATGGTTTGTTTCTATCTATTTGATATTTTAACCTTAACATAGGCATTATCATCATCAACTTGCCCTTATCCCTTACGGAGGGTCAGCACAGTATGTGCTCCATACATCTCTATCAGTCATATCTGAAACCACTCCTTTCTTAAGCATATCCTCTTTCACACAATCCATCCGTACTTTCTGCGGTCTTCCTCTACCTTTGTAGCCATCCACATTCATTCTTAACACTTTCTGGGTTATGTCCCCATCGTCTCGTCGCATAACATGTCCATACCACGCTAACCTTTTGCTTCTTAATACTACGAATATGAAACTTGATTCGGTTTTATTATACTAATTTGTTAAAAAATATTGAAAATAATTATAGAAATAAATTTTTATTTCATGTGTGGTGGATAAAAGTTTATTTATTTATTTTTTATCTCCTTATCTGTGTTTTTTAAAATCAATCAAACAAATAGAAACCTCAAATTGTCAATTCTCGACTCAAAGAGCAAGAGTTTTAATTTCAATTTTCAATGGCAATAAAATTATCGCTGATGACTTTGACGTTTGCAATGTCATTTTATAAATTGACGTATCGTAGGGAAGGACCTTATATCGGATTCCATCCAATACCTAAACTATAACAACACTACAAACTGTAAAACTCGTAATATTTCTGGTAGAATATTTTTCTTACATAATTATACGAATGAAGGAGAAACAGAAAGAAACAATTTTATTTTTATTATTCCAACTAAGAATTTCGACGCAATCGTTTTTAAGTTCTATGAACTATCGAGAATCGATTAGATACATAACCGATTTTACATCCCAACTGGTCAAACCTTTCAACAACATGTCAAAATATGCTTGGTTTCTAATGATTCCAGTTAATATCTAGTTATTGATTTAATATAAATCTATAAAATAACGTATACAAATTTATTTTCGTGTTAAAGTTAAGTACTGGCGATCGATGACTTATTATGCATTTGAAAATTGCATTATCTGTTTTCAATATTTAACGTAATTGTTTTCGTGAGTTCGGTGTCTTCGGAAACGTTTATAGTGAATAATGGAGTTCAGGAAACGATGTAAAAATTTCACGGAAAAGGAGAAATTGCTCCTTCTTAAAGTGGTAAAACAATACGTCGATATAATCGATAACAAAAAGACTGACAGTGTTACCGTAAAGGCGAAAAAGCGAGCTTGGGCAGATCTAACGAATAAATTCAACGCTGTTTCTGAAACTGGATGGAGGAATGAAAAACAATTACATGCTTTGTATGATAATTTAAAGAAAATAGCTAAAAAGAATACGAGCAACGAAAAGGTTAGCCAATTTAAAATCAATATTATTCAATTTGTTTTTATAGTAATTTCATAAATGGACATTTTGCTTAATTCCCTAAAATATTGAACTGTCCACAGCCAAGACAACCACATTTGCAGATGTCTATCTTTAAGTGACTGATAAGGGGACATTCAGCGGATATCTCTCTTCCCATGCCTCTGTGAAATCCTCCCTTCCCTAATAAGGGTAGGATAGTGGATTAAAATTTTTCCTTCAACACTTAGACAAGAACAAATTACATCCACTTGCCTGTATACTAGCCTATAAGTCTCAAAAGTAAATCTATACATATAATAAATTGGAGTATGTTAGTAATTTCTTCAAGATGATGTATTCGCGTTGCTGGTAACGAAAATCGCATTAAAAAATGTCTGTCTATCTATCAGATAGCCACATTTGTCCTGGCAAATCTCTGAAACGGCTGAGCCTATTTCGACCAGACATTCACTAAAAGGTAGCTAACATAGACGGGCATATTATAGGCTTTATATCTTAATATTGCGTGGATTGTCACAGGCAACAGTAAGTATTAAATATAATTTATTCTTGTAAATTTGTTTCAGCCAGAGAAATATGAATCAAAAGATGGAACTATTTGTGTTAATACAAATACAATAGATGAGAAAGTTCTTGAGATAACTAAAGTTGATAACTTAACTATCGAATTTGATCCACTGGAAAATAATATTGACACATCCTCGCTTAACTATAACTATGGTAAATACAACCTATACTATTATAATAAAGCGTAAACACACACTTCTTTGTTGCCTAAGATGTCAGCAATTATAGCATATTTTTGAATAATCCTCTTTTTAATAAAGCCCTACACTTGCGTCACGCTTTAAGCTATATATTTTAACGCTATTAAACTCAAGGGGTAAATATTTTGGATAAAAACCCTAATGTGGGAAAGGGACCATAAGTTGCTGCCAACATTAAGGAAGCAAGGTTGCCATGGTTTGTCATCATGTCGTTTTCACATTTGTTATTGATAATTTGACAAATGTAAACCCGCGTACTTGGTATGACTGGAGAAGTCTAGTATTGTGTTAAGTTATTTGAACAATAAATCCTTACCTGGACAAAGTGGGGATAGACTAAGACCTAAGGGTTCTGTATTTCATAGTTTAAACTTCGTCCACGTGGGCATAAGAAATACTTAAATATAGCCTTAATAAATAGAAAACATAACTTTTTAAAAGTGAAAGTAATTTTTAAATTGGCCCAGTAGTTTTTGAGTTATTTCAATACATACAAGAATACTCTTTTCTCTTTTTATTAGTATTTATATGAGTACAATATATATTTATTACAGATACAGAGTCACGTGATTTTCTTGTAGAAAGCACAGATAATGAAGAACCAGCTGAAGTGAAAAGGCGTCGCTCATCAGTGGCTGTAACACCAGAAATAAAGAATTTAACGGAAATAAAAAAAAATAGTGTTCGAAATTTAAGTACATGTATAATAAAAAGGAAAAAAGACAAGCAAATTAATGAAGATGCTTTAACGAATAAGAAATTGGAAATTCTAGAGATTCAATATCAACAGGAGGTTATGAAATTAGAGAAAACTAGGATATTATTGGATCTAGATATTGAATTGAAAAGAGTTATTTTAGAAAACGCTAAATTGGATTTGGAATTGAAGAAGAATTCATGATAAATGTGATTTTATTAATAATATTGTAAATAAATGTATTTATTAAGTAAAGAATTTGTTGTTGAAAGCTTTACAAGCTTCGGTGGCTTAGTGGTTTGAACACTTGACTTGTAATCTACAGTTCTTGGGTTCAAACCCACTGTACCATATGATTTTCGCTTTTTCAAATTTTTAGATGTACATAATTTACCCGACGTTCTTACGGTGAAAGAAAACATCGTGATGCAAATCGGTGAAGAAATTCAAAGATATGTGTGAAGTCAACCCGCAGTACAGCGTGGTTGACTATGTCCTAGTCACCCCTATTAGGGTAGGCTCCGAGCCCCTTGGTGGGGATGTATAGTGAGCTGGTGATGATGATGATGATGTATATATTTAAATAAGTAATTAAATTCATTAAACTATTTTTAATAAGTCTGTAAATATTGTATTATAAAGATATATGTTATACATATTTTTTATTTCTCATTTATATTGAATTCTACTCCGTCCACAAGAAAATCATACTTTATACTTCATACTAATATTATAAATGCGAAAGTTTAGATGGATGGATGTTTGTTAGAGTTTGTAGCCTAAACGGCTGAACAGATTTTGATGGAATTTGGTACAGATGTAGAGGATAGTCTGGAAGAACACATACGCTACTTTTTATCCCGGAAATAGTTACGGTTCCCGTGGGATGGATTAATTTCGTATTTTGATGTTTACTCGATAATTCCGCAACGGTTCAACATATCTTATTGAAATTTGGCACAGATATAAAACAAAGTATGGAGTACAAGTGGGATAAGGTTCATCCCCGAAAAATGTCCGGTTCCCAAGGGACACGTTATTTATATAGTTCGTCTGTTTTCTAATACCACGCGGACGAAGTCGTAGGCAACAGCTAGTTAAAAATAATCAAAAAGAAATGCAAAAATATAGCCTATGTTAGGATTTTTTTAAATTCAGCCCAGTTTTTACCCCATTCATTACAATCATAAAACAAAGTTTTCCCTATATATTAATATAGATAATTAAGCTGTTACTTGAGACTTCGTTGAAATTAAAAAATATACCCTGTTACTCAGATAAATTACCTTTCTGACGGTGAAAGAATTTTCAAACTCAGCCCAGTAGTTTTTGAGTTATCTCAATAGATACAAAAATACAAATCTTTTTATTATAGATTGCTTACCTAAAATATTGTTCGACCAATAGCTGACGAAATTTATAATCTTCGGAGAAGTTATATACTGTATTACATTTTGGTATATTTTCATCAGGAGTGTCAATTAAAAAACTATCATTTTGCTGGTTACATATATTATGTAACACAGCGGTTGCGGTAATCACAGCTAATGTGTGTTGCAGATTTAATCTCAATTTTAGTGAAAGACATGGAAATCTATTCTTCCAAGCAATAATTGTCCTTTCAATTGTATTTCTAGTATTATTATGAGCCTTATTGTATAGTTTTTCTGCATTCGTAGATGGATTTATAATTGGAGTCATCAGATATTTACTACAAGGGTATGCAGAATCTCCTAGAAGGTGACCATCTATCTTGTTACTATAGAGTTGTGTTCGCAGCGATGAATTTTCAAATACAATACTGTCTTCAGTCGATCCATACCCATGTGCATCTAAATATCGTATATTTAATTCAGCATCACACACGACTTGCACATTAATAGAAGAAAAGCCTCCTTTATTTTTATATAATTCAGCCAGATTACCTCCCGGAGACTGGATAGGAATATGTGTTCCGTCAATACATCCTATTACATTTGGGAACCCAGCTATATTATAAAAAAGTTCCTTAACCTCTTGTAATTCGCTACCATTCGGCATGCTTATGTAAGATTTCGCTAATTTAGTTATTTCTTTGCTAACCTTGTACACAACTCTGGACATAGTAGTTTTATGTACATTAGTGTCGCTGATTTGAAGTGTTCCAGTAGCATAAAATCGCAATGTTATAAAGATTTGTTCCAATACAGATAAACTGAATTTTCGATGCGATACAGGTGTTAAAACTGGATTAATGAGATCGTTTAAATGCGATACAGTATTCTTATCAAGTCTGTATAGCATTTTGAATTCATCGTCGGAATATGTAAAGGGATCTCTTTTGTGCTTTGAACGTTTAAGATTCCGTGGTACGGATATATTGGAAATTATCTCTAGTACTTCAAAATCTGATTCCGATGAGCTGCTGGTGTTCAAATTCATATTTTACTCATATTTACTGAACTCAAGTATTTTAGAATGGAAAATCGTATTATAAACGATTTCTCTCTTCGCAGTGTTTTATTTTTATAGAAGAAAACACTTAAAAGTATATCAATTTAAATAAACGTAAAATGTTTACATCGCTGTGAAATTACTGTTTATGTTTTGTCAATCTTTGTTTTGCTTTTGTTATGTTTGACACTTCATTTGACAGTACATTAGGGATGTGAGTAAAACCGGTTATAAGTTGTTTTTCGATTATTGTTTTCATAGAACACGTAATCGATATATAACTACGGTTTTAAAATTTCGTAACAACAAATTGTTTCTCTATTCCTATTACTCTAAACTAAAATAAGAAAGAAAAGCTCAAAGTAAAAATTCAGTGGTAGACGAAAGCATAAGAAACCTTGTTTGAGTTTTTTACACAAACATTAACGCCCTTTCCCATATGTGGTAGATAAAGGTCCAGATAGACCTTAATTATAGTAAGTACTATTGATAAACTAAGTTGTTCGTTATGTTCGGATAGTACCCTTCTTTTAAGTAGTAAAATCGTTATACTCTTACTAAATTCGATAATTCAGGGGCTAACAAAATATTTTTGGGCCTGTACCACCAAATTGCAAATGGCCTGACAATAATTTAACGTATAAAATATGTCATGGATGGTTTAATATCGGATTTTGTTCTCTTATCTAGCAGTGTGTCATTTTGAAGCTACCTGGGCCTCTATCTACAACCTCTGGGACAGGCCCTAATAAATGCGAGAGTTTAGATGGATGTTTGTTGGAGTTTGCAACTTAAAATTCTGTTTCGTTTACAGGTTTATGAAAATTCAAATACAGATTCGGATGATGAAACGAAAAATAAAAGTTATACTTCAAGTAAAGTAAATTTAAACTCTGCTGCAGATATAAATGAGCCAGGCGATAATACCACGGAGAACGATGAAATACAACAAAACGAAGAATTATCTAGATGCAATAAACCAGTGAAAAAGAAAAATGATAAATTTAAAGAGATTAATTTATGTAATTCAATGAAAAATCGAGATGAATTTGACATTTTTGGTAATTATATAGCCAGGACCTTACGTTCCTTGCCAGGTGAACTGGGCATTATTGCAAAAACACACATAGTAAAAGCATTATCAGATTTTCAGCTCAAAGCATTAGGGCAAAAACAAACTGCTCGATTTATGTACAGACTTACGTCTTGTAATAACCCAGATTGTAGCAATTCATCCTGCTAGGGTCTGTCCCACTAAGTTGTAAATTAATAACAATCGCACGTGTAAAATATGCGATGGAAGTATCGTATTTTGTTCCCTTATCTGACAGTGACGTCATTTTTAAGTTATCTGAGCCTCTATCAGCCAGTTGTGGGACAGACCCTAATGGTTTTAGACGTTCATCGCACAACTGTGCGATTGTCGGTTTAGCAGCCAATTTAACTGTTTTGCATAACTAAAAATCTAGTAGTGTATGCACTTCCATATAAGCTCTAGGAATCAAAGCTTCTTCTTCAATCTTAAACGCTCTTAGTTTTAATGTCACGTAGGTGCGATAAAATCAGGGATATAAATACGTATCTATACTATTATAACAAAGCGTAAACACACACTTCTTTGTTGCCTAAGATGTCAGCAATTACACCATATTTTTGAATAATTCTTTTTTTAATAAAAATCCCTACACTTACGTTACGCTTTAGGCTATATATTTTCACGCTATTAGGGGTAAATGTTTTGGTTAAAAACCCTAATGTGCGAGAGACCATAAGTTGCTGCCAACATCAAGGAAGCAAGGTTGTCATCATGTCATGTCATTTTGACATTTGTTATTGATAATTTGACAAATGTAAGCAATAAAATAAAGTTTTAACAATCTCATGCGTGTGAAGCCTCACGGGAACAGCTAGTGTTTTAATACGATTGCTTCAACAGTAAAAACCAGTAATTGATGCAAGCTGAAAAACAATGACGTTATTTTTAAGCTATCTGTACCTTTATCAGCCAGTGATGGGACAGGTCTTTATTCAATAATGATCATCGTATATAGTTTTAGCTATACTATCGCTCTCGGCAAGATTTCCAGTAAGCCCTATTATCGACAATGAGTAATTCTAAGGGGATATTAAGAGGGTGTGATTAGCGCCTCTTTCTGTGAACAAATTGATGCTTAATATCGTTATTTTCAAAAAAAATCAGCGTACGTGCCTTTGATTAATCTATCGCACAACTCTTTAGTCACGATTTGATTCCTATGAGATTATACAGAGATGTACAACTCGATTTTTAGTTGTGTAAACATTTTTTACGTCGAAGTGACATCTGAGCGTATGTTTGAATGGAATAGACGGTTGACGTCAATTGTCTCATGACAACTCCGGTCGCGTTTTAGTCGCTCGAAAATGGTCGTAATTTTTTTTTTTTTTTTTTAGCTCAATGGTTGAATATTATCGCGTCAATTTTTTTTGTGGTTATTTTATAACAAGTAGAATCGTTAAAAAAAGAAACAAAAATACATGCATATTCCCTATTGTGCGATAGTTTCAGAGGTGTGCGCCCCCTCAAAAAGGAGGCTTTGATTGTGTCTTATGTTTGTAATTCATGGATTATTTAAGCAAAATTAGTTTAAGCCCAATTTGTAGCGTTTAAAAATATAAGTTTATTGGGATACTTATTAAAATAAAACTCTTAATAATAAAATCGTGTGTATATTTTAAAATAAAAAATAAACAATCACATAGACGACAAGATTTGAACAATACAATATAAAAGATCGTTGCCACGATACCTGCAAATAAAAAAAAAACTATTAATATGGCAACACTTGTGGCGCTGTGATCAATCTTTGACCTTAGAAGGGTATAGTTAAACAAGGATACCTAGACTGGTGAGAGGCGCTGCGATCATAGTTCTGTCAATATCAAAAACTAAAGCCCATACAAAATTCCATAAAAGATATTTCTTTTATAATATATTTATTACAAGTGTTAGCTTTTAAAAAGAGGTAGACATAGAAAGAGATGGATGGATTGCGTGAAAGGTGACATGATCAAGAAGGGAGTGATGACAGATGACGGATGATAGAGTGCTTTGGAGGACGAAAACGCGGTTTTCGTCTATAGTATGACCATCAGTCTATATTTTAAAGGAAGTCATTCGTGTCGAAATATTTAACACAAGACGACAAAAATCTTGTTACATTTTAATAAGAAGTCGCTACTATTAGACAACTTATTTATTTGATACTGTCGCTTTAAACTCAGAGCAACACTTCTCGCCAGACTATCGATGCGCGCCAATCTATCCATCCTCCTAGTGACATTGACAGCTGTCAGCTAGGGACGTGACGCTTATGCCGATAATCTAGAGTTGCGCCAATTCTAAAGCACGGTACTAATTTTATTCCTAACACTACTTAGCTGTTATAGTTTATTTCGAATTATACCCACCAGTTCAGTTATCCTTGTAAGCTAGCTTTGGAGACAAAAGTCTAAGGAGTAGAGTTATACGGTTACAATTAATTTACCACACAAAGAGCTTGTTAAATGAATACCGCCATCCATAAACATTAAGGAAACTAAGGGACTTTAGCGAAACTGATTCGCCTTAGATAGTTTTAGACAAATTAATATAATCGTACTTAGCAATATTAATTTAACCACTCCACTAGAGACTCGCTAGGAATGCGCGCCAATCTACCAATCCTAATGCATTGACAGCTGTCAGAAATGTGACGTTTATGCCAATAATCTAGTGTTGCGCCAATTTCTACAGCGCGGTACTAATTTTCTTCTCAACAATAGTAATATAATAGAGGCATTGTGTTAAAGAACGACCTAAAAGGACCCTATTCCCTTAACTACGTAAAGTTGACTACACGCTTCTCTTTCCCTCCACTGGTTTTTATATCCTTCATCTCTCTTATGTAACGAAATGCGATATTTTAGTCGATTTACCCTTGCCCCCTAATTTGTACATAAGTGGAGGAGATGAGACGCATAAGTCGGGGAAATGTCTTTCTGTACTTCCCCTCTTCTGATGATTAAAGAGAGGCAACGCATCTACAAATGCGGATGTCTATGGGCAGCGGTAACTTCGCCTTAGTTCACTTAGAGCACGCGCACACCTAAAACTCAACTATCGCAACTGCTTAGTCGCTTTGATTACTACCATATGAGCGTATACAGCGCACACTACTCGATTTTTAGTTGTGCAACTAAATAGTTGAATTGGCAAAGCAATCGATAATAACACAGCAGTTGTGCGATAATTTAATCAAAGGTATCACGCTCTTAAAAATGCGGTACAAATTCAAATATCAAATCAATCTTACTGTCTGTTTCTGAAGAAATTGTCCGCGACTAATGATTTCTCTTCGTCGCGGTATTTACTCGAAGCAAATCGACCGGGACCTGCAGCGTCTACAAAAATAAAAAAAACCTAAGTCGTTGATTAAAAAAAAAGCGTCATGATCACCGCTACCCATAAATCTACAATCATGCGTTACCTAGAAAACTATACGAAAAGGGAGGGTTACAAACGGAAAAGGAATAAAGAACTAAGGTACGTCCCTAGCCGAGTTAATTTTCAAGTTGTAATATCTATGGATAGCGGTGGACACTGATCACAGATATATTAACAAAATTATAATAAGCTAGCTGTTGCTTACGACCTTGTCTGCGTAACATTAGAAAAATAAAGATTTTGCCTATGTCACTTACTGATAACGTAGCTTTCTAAAGATAAAGGAATATTTCAAACCGTTTCAGTACTTTTTTAAAATTCCAATACATGCAAAAATCCAAAAATAAAAATCTTTCCTGTATAATATTAGTAAAGAAAAAGAAAAAGAGAGAAAAAATCACCCCAGAATACAAGAGGCAGCCTTACGTTTACTCCAGTCTCTTCCAGTGGTAGTTCAATCGTAAGCAGAGGGGACTTCCCTAAAATCTGTGTCGAAACGATTCATTTCACGCCTGTCTTATATGGTCGTGGCATTTCCTCGACTAGCTTTGACCTCCAGCAGACAGATGGTTCTCCTGTTAAATAATCCATCCATACCTTGCTTACCTTCGTCTACGCCTGGAGCATGACCTGCGACGACGACGTGGTCTCCGCCGCGGCAGGCGCACCCTGTATCGTCTATCACAATAGCGGCACCGCTTAAATGTTCCGCACTTCGACCGACACGCGCTGACAAACCGATAAAATACATTTAAAAAAATAATTTAAAACTATACAGTTCTGAAATCTGGTGGCGTTCCTTAAAAGCTGCATCAACGCATTGAAACGAAGCCACACAGTAACCAATAGAAGGCTATTAAATATGTCTGTTTGAAAACGCTTGTATTGCTACCTAATTGGAAGTTTGCTGTAAGGAACGAAGCAATTTTTCTGTAAGTGGATCTCTGAATGTACAATACCATATATAAAGAGATTTTAAACGTAACGAAATTTGGCGGCATTAGAAAATTTTTGTACCGACAGTTTTTAATGTTTTTAAACAGTTTATTTCTGGCCTAAAATAACGAATATGATATAAGATTTAAACTTTACTGGAAAAACAAGAACCTTACCAATAGTTTTCTAATTGTTTTAGTATTGTACCAAATGTACTTACGTCCTGGCTGTTCGCCTGCAAGAAGATTGAATTAAACAATTACGATATTAAAAGTAATGCATTAAAAATATTAAAAAGAACGTAATCTACCTCCGCCTCCGACGACATCGCGCCATATGCTGTACCTGAAATGTATTTTTTAATCTGTAATCAACATTTGGTACGAAATTAATTTTAAACGTTAGCAACACTTGGTCCAACAGATTATGCAAGCAGTTTCTTTTCTAGTTTACTGTTATTTAAAATTTTAACACTTTTATGTGACACTTTAAGTTGATTTATGCAGCCGATTTTTATCTGACACTAGAGGGTTTTAAAATATTTCTCTACAACTTTAAAGGTCATTCAAATAATTATATTGCACGATTCTTCCGTAATTCGTTTCTTCTAATATAATCACAAATATACTAAATAGAGTGTTTTATAAAATTCACGTTTTGCACCAGTTTTTTTTTTAACACGGCACTTACCAGTTATAATATTGCTAAAGATGATAAAACATTAGGATAATATTAATTTTTTGTGTGGAAATTTAAAATTTACTTGTGTCAAAAAGCATAATATGTTCACAATATCATTGATCTGAAAGTAATTTTTGACATTCCATTTATAAAATAAAAGAGAAAACATTTACTTGTCGAAATACAGAAAAAAAGTATTTAAGCAGGAAGAAAATTTCGATTGTCTATTGATTTCTTCTAAAATATCTTTTTCAAACATATAATTTTTAATTTGCAAATAAACGTAATAAGCATTTTCATAGTAAGTTTTTTTTCTCTGCTCTTTTTAAATAAAATCATGAGATTTGCCATTTATTTTATGTACTTTGACAAAGTTCTATCTCATTGAAACTTGGCGCGAATTTGCTTCAACACTTTTCACACAAACTAAGCATGCGTAACATAGCTCGGAACTGATTCCAAAGATCAGTTCACCTTGAATTATTGAGCTGCAGCTCAACTAAATTAGCAGCTCCCAGCTTTTGATGTAGTGTTCCATTTCTGGAAAAAATGCTTAACAGTTGTGGGTATAAATAAAACAACAAAATCACTTAAAACAAATATAATCATGATAAAATATCACAAATCTATACAGAATACTTAAATTTTAGATTCGCTCCTACTCTATGGTCATAAAAATTTAAGACTGTTCATACAAGCAACATATATACCATATACTAGCTCTTGCCCGCGACTCTATCCACATGAAATTAAAAAAAAACAATAAAAAAACGCCGCAAATCGCGTGCGGTTTTTAATACATTTTATGAACAAAAAAGTGGTTATTGTAAGAAAACCGTTAAAGATAGGTATATGCTATCGCGGACTTTTCTGTAGAACTTTTTGAGATCTACAATTCTTTCATACATCATTTTTATATACCTCTAACGGTTTAGGCAGCGTAAGCCGAGAAAAGTTAAAGTTAAGTGATTTTTTAACGCCGGCGTCCAGAAACACGCTGTTTATTAATAGATCCTAAACATTAATAATAATAAAATATAGCCTATGTTACTCACAGATAAATTACCTTTCTAAGGGCGAAAGAATTTTTAAAATAGGACCAGTAGTTTTTGAGTTATTTCAATACAAAAATAACAAATCTTTCCTCTCTAATATTAGTATAGATATAGCTTGTGCTTGTATATTGTGAATATACATTTTTATATTAAAAATAAAGCAAATACATTAAATAGCTTTAGTTAAAACAGTGGTAGAGCCCGCTTTAACATCTTTACACTGCAGGGCTCGTCCCAGCAATACCACGACCACACAGACAGGCGTGAAGTGGAAGCAATTCCGAGTACAGTCTGATGAGTGTGGTGCCGGAGGCCTGAATTCAGTCCCTTTTCTTAAGAGGAAAGGATGGGAAGGAAAATTGTATTTGACAGTGGAGACGCATAGGAAGGGGAAATGTCCTCTTTATGTGCGTCTCCGTCAATGAAGGGTAGGCAACGCTGAAATTGTAGATGTTTATGGGCAGCGGTCACTTCCATTTCGGTGGATTCAAGCCGCTTGCTCATTTGCCACCTTTTATTATAAAAAACCATTTAATTGTATCTCTTTCCTTCCACCTGTATTATATCTCTTTTCTCACTGTAACTTTTATTAAAATGAAGATTCTGTGCAAATAAAAACAACGGGACAGCTTTATATTTATTGTTTAAAATTAATTTTATATCCTTTCGATTCAGGATCTTGTTCCATTTGGAAATTATCGGTAGACAATCCAAACGGTTTTAGTATCATATTGCCCAAATCTTTTAATTTCCCGAGCATTTCCTTCTTTAATTTCTCATTCTTCTCTTCTATGAGAGGTGGTAGACGGATGACTGCTGCCTGAGCCTCTTTATGTCCTGGATCTATTTCTAGAATCTTCTTGTAGTCCACTAAACATTCATCAAACTTCTCCGTAGCTTCATATGATTGTGCCCTCCTGGAAGAAAAAAAAAAACAATCTAAATTCATACCAATAAAAAGAGGACAGATTTGTATTTTTGTATATATTGAAATAACTCGAAAACTACTGCACCGATTTCAAAAATTCTTTCAACATTAAAAAGGTAACTTATCTGTGAGTAACATAGGCTACATTTTGTATTATTTTTTTAATTTCACGCAGACAAAATCAAACAACAGCTATAAGGAATAATTTGGATATTTACTCTTCCTTTTTTAACAAATAACAGAAATTTGTAATTATCCATACTAGCTGTTTCATGTGGCTTCATCTGCATGAAATTATTAAAACTGTATTTTGTTGTTTACGTTTCATAAATCTTTCAATTGATAATGTCTAAATTCGAATACACATTTTACAACAAAGGCCCTTGACATTGGTTGCAAATAAGTTATAAGTAACCATGGCAACCTTAATTCCTGCTATTGGCTTGTAGTTTTTGTCCCTTTCCCACATTAGAGTTTTTATCCAAAATATTTACCCCCTAAGTTTAATAGCGTGAAAATATATAGCCTAAAGCATAACGTAAGTATAGGGCTTTTTATTAAAAAAAGAATTATTCAAAAATATGTTATAATTGCTGACATCTTAGGCAACAAAGTGTGTGTTTACGCTTTATTATAATAGTATAGAGTATTTTACTTAACAAAGAAATTTTATTCCTTACCTATTATATGCTTTTAAATATTTTTCGTCCAATTCAATAGCCTTAGTACAGTCTTTGATCGCCCGCTTGTATTTCTCTAATTTCATTTTCGCAGCACTTCGATTGCAGTACAAAATGGACCGTTGTTGTTCAAACTGTAGGGGACAGATTCTTAAACCTGAGAAACAGTTTTGAATATTGTTTATTGAAAATCACAGCACTATTGTTAAAATATTAAAATGGAGAAACTGAGAAAGTTTGTTCTGTCGTTTTTAACAATTTAAAAAAATAATAATTTATAATTTGAGTTAGAGACAATCTTACTAATGTTACTAATATTATAAATGCGAAAGTTTAGATGGATGTTTGTTAGTTTGTAGACCAAACGGCTGAACGGATTTCGATGAAATTTGGTACAGATGTAGAGGATAGTCTGGAAGAACACATAGGGTACTCATTTTTGTTTTTTTTAATTCCTCGCGGACGGAGTCGCGGGCGAAAGCTAGTAATATAATAAATGAGAAAATTTAGATGGATGTTTGTTAGAGTTTGTAGCCTAAACAGCTGAACGGATTTTGATGAAATATGGTATAGATGTAGAGGATAGTCTGGAAGAACACATAGGCTACTCACTTTTGTTTTTTTAATTCTACGCAGAGGGAGTCACGGGCGAAAGCTTATTAATAAATAAATTATCAAAACGAATATCATCCCAATTGAAACAACAAAACTATAGAAATAAGATTATTTTTAACATAACTTAAAACAAAATAATGGAATTAGTATCGTTGGGCGAAAGGCTTATTTGTTTTAAACGCAATTAGGTTAAATGTTCAGCAGAGCCATTTAAAGTCTTCATTTTTAGAAAAAAAAAAAAATGCAAATCCTGGCAATAATTTCAATTGAAAAATTTTCAGACCGGCTCTAGATTAAAATTACTATAATTCTGCTTACTTCATTATTCATTTCATATTTAAAAATTCTGAATATATGAATCAATATCGCACAAAATGGCGGTTGAAACAAATAGCCTTTCACCTGTCGATTTTTTTTTATATAACATAAGGTGGCAAAGAGCAAGGGGCCACCTGAATCCGCCAAAATGGCGAAGCGACTGCCCATAGACATCCGCAATTGCAGATGCGTTGTCTAC